TTGTATGACAGACTCATTTGATTACTTACTGGTAATTAGCATTTCTACATTTTTAAAAAAGGCAACCATTTTTAAGTGACAATACATATCAGGCTAGTAGAAAAAAGTTGAAACAAAGCCCTCCCTTTCAATCTCACACAGTCATGCAGACAAGAGAAGGTGGATCCGATTTGTTCCGATCAGGCTTCTTGGAATTATCAAAATTTCTTTTCTGGCAAAGATGAATCTGGCTCATCATAGAAAGAAGGTTCTTTGAAGGCTGCTGCTAAACTCATTTCCCTTTGAAAAAGCAAATTTCAAGGCATGATAGTGCAAGAGGTAAGGTTTTGATTTATAGAACATTTATAGACTAATTGTGCTTAGTGTCTAATTTCCAATTTACTGTAAAGAACAAAAATTACGGTGATACGTTTCACTTTCCTAAATTTACCAGCACATTCATGAATCGCACCAGAATTAGTACAACATGATTATCTTAATGATTCTGCTGTGACACCTGCACACTGCACTGGAAGTGAGGACCAGCGGATGCCAGGCTCCAGCAAGTTCCGGGCACAAGGACTCTCTCCTCTTGGGAGCCAGGGATCTGAGAAAGCGGTTCCCTCAGACTAAGTCCTCAAACAACTCTCTCGATAAGCAGTAAGAAAACCAGTACTAAGTGGAGAGTTCTTTTGTTTCGTTAAATCTGGGAGGTCTGAGTGTCCCTGGAGTCCCCGTCAGGATGTGTCACGGGTCTCGAATCCCTTGAATGTGGGCATTCACTGTTAGAGGGCTCTGTGGGGTCGATCAAATTCTCATAATCACTGTCGTCGGACTCATCCCCACTGTCTCCAGCTGCTCTTTGGGAAGGAGGAAGGTCTGCTCCACCTGCAGGGTACTTCAGTCCGGTGCTGGTGGAAGCGTAATTGGAAGAGCCCACAGCTTGAGGTCGCGGCATAAAGACACTACTCTCCATGCGAGAATGGCTCAAAGTACTTTCTTGATTGTTGGGGTGAAAATCAGAGTAGGGGGGAGGAGGATCAGAGGCCTCGGCATCTCCAAGTGTACTTCTACCTTCAGCTGCAAATGCAGAATAGGGCATCCGAGGGCTGAACCCCGATTCCAGATTTTCCGACGGCACTGGTCTGCTTAGCATCGCCTGCTGCATTCCTGGGTGAAAACAGGAAGAATGTTGTAACACTTTCTGTATTTGCACGGCCTTTCATCTCAAAGCATTAAACAGTAATCCGAATTGCCTGAGAAAACTGTTACTATGACTTATTTTACATTTGCACAGTACTTTATACTTTTAAAAAATATTTTCATACACGTTAATTCATGTAAACCTCGTAACAACCTTCTGAAGTATTAC